GCCGGCCCAAGACCAAATATCTTTAAAGCCTACCCTCTGAAGTAGACAAGGGTATGCAACAGCTCAGTGGTTCTGAGCCCAGATTTTGGAGTGGGCCGGTCCTACTCAGCCTGGCTCTTCTCCCCACCTCTACATTTATTTCCTCATTTTATATAAATCAGGGAGAATAATAGTAGTGGCTAGTGGTTACCTCGCAGTACCTCTGTGAGGATTAAATGGGACAATGTAGAAAGAATCCAGAGCTGTCCCTGTCATATGGTAAAAGCTCAGGTAAGGTTAACAACTGCCTTTATATTGGGTCTTCAGAAAAGTCATGATGCATGTTTGCAACAGAGGGCAGTAGTTCATTTTTGGAAGTACTAGAGGCATTTGCATCTATGTTATTGCTATGTCATTTGACAGCTGAAAGTTCTAGCTTCATTCTAAAAAAAAATTGAGCAATTTGGTTGAGTTTTGGAAATTTTACAAGTTGAAGATGGAAGACGAAACTATGCATTATTGCCATATTTTACTGTTTTACTTCTATAAAAGGAAGAACGCGCATCAAGTTTGTGAAAAGTTGCAAAGTTTACAGTGACAATGCTCTACAAGAATGCCAGTGCCAACGATGGCTCACGAAATTCTGTGCTGGTGATATAGATCTCAATGATGCTCCTCGGTCAGGGAGGCCCACCAAGGTTGATGATGACAAAATAAAAGCATTGATCGAGTCAAACCACATTACACAACAGGAGAGATTGCAGAAACATTGCACATCCATCATTCACGCGTTCATGACCACCTGAAGCAGCTGGGATACTAAGCAAGCTCGATATTTGGGTTCCGCATGAACTCAAAGAAGTTCATTTGAAGGCGCGTATAAACTTTTGCAATAGGTTCATTAAACGTGAGGAAAACAATCCTTTTTTAAAGCAACTGATAACTGATGATGAGAAGTAGATTGTTTATAACAATGTGGTGCGCAAACAGTTTTGGTCCCGACGTGTTGATTCACCTCAAACAACACTGAAAGCAGACATTCATCAGAGGAAGGTTATGCTCTCAGTGTGGTGGAATTTTAAAGGTGTCATGTTTTCAAGCTCCTACCAAGGAACCAAACAATCAATTCGAGTGTGTACTGTCAGCAATTGGACAGTTTGAACAAATCCATCATCCAGAAATGTCCAGAGCTTGTTAATTGTAAAGGAGTTGTGTTCCATCGTGACAGCATGAGACCACACACAAGTTTGATCATCCGTCAAAAATGATTGGAGCTTGGATGGGATGTGTTGCCACACCCACCATACTCGCCTGACCTTGAGCTGTCAAACTTCCACTGGTTTCACTGTCTTCGAAACTCCTTGCGTGGTATAATGTTCAATTCAGATGAGNACTGTTTAGATATGGGAAAAGCCATGTACTCAATATTTGTTAGCTTTTACAATTATCATGCTTAATATCAATTACTTCTTTCAGAGAGCTTTGAAAATTTCTGTAATGGATATAACTAAATGCAAAGTGGTTTAAGAGCAGAAACCTCTGTTTTATAAATTTAGATAGGCTATTTTCTCAGTAATCCAGGAGTAGATAATTTGCCCCATGAGCTATTTGGAGCTCCTGATCCTTGTTAACTCCAACTATAAACTATGGAGGGAGCCTTGGGTCCCACTGTGGCAGGTGTCTCTCTCTCTGTGCCCTCCAAGGGCAGGAACTTGGCATTACCAACAGGATTAGTCCACTCCTGGCTTGTCTTGACCTTGGATAAACCCCATCTGAGATTTTCATCCTCTGATTCCTTTATCTGACTGTGAAGTTTCTTTCATTCTGGAGAAGCGGCTGATAATGAAGGAGACATTATCACACTAGCTCTTACCTTTTTGCTCCTTCTCCCCTCATAAACGCTCTTGTCATGCAGAGGAGAGATAAGGGAAGGGGCAGAGGGCAGTTGACCTGGCTTGGAGACAAGAGAAGTCAGAGACCTCTGTTCTCTATCTGTTCTGAGGATGAAAGGAAGCCTTTGTTTTCCTGCCCTGTAAGTTTCAAGTGCTTTTGAGAAAGAGAAGTTTGGAAAATGATGCCTGATTTCTATGTGTGGCATTTACTCAGGAGCAAGGAGGGGCCCTCCGTGTAAATGTAATTTATCATTTTTTCATGGAAATTTCTAAGGAAAGATAATATATAAGGTTTGCAGGCTTCTGAATGGATTTCTTCTGGGATATTTAAAAAGCCAACATAAATATTTCAGCAGTAGTGTGTTAATGTTATTGCATTTAAAAGCTATAAATTTCTGCTATCTGATGCAGGCAGTTGTATGTTCAGTCTCACAAAGCTTTTGCCCACCTTCCCAGGAATCCAAGACCATGGGATATTGAAGGGCAGGCCCCTGTGCCATTCTAGAGTGTGTGTTAGCTTTTTTACTGCCAAAATTGAAGGAGAATTTTATTTCTACCCATCACCCACCCACATTGTTTGCTAAAGATTAAGTGGTCCAGGAGTGAAAAAACATAAACCATGATCCACGGCTCCAGGCCAAACACCAGCATATTATGAAAAGCTCCCATTAAGAATCATAGCAGTAAAATATGAATGGTCATTACAACTGGGGAATTCTTTCCCTGCCAATTACATAATCTTGCCTGGTTCTCATCAGAACCCGAGCGAGGTCATCATTTCAAGATTTCAGTAACATATGAAGGCAGCCTCAGAGCGCAACCACTCAAACATTACTGCCACCATCAACAAAACCCCTGTGCAAGAATACAGGAATTTCTTCTGTCGGATAATTATTCTTTTAGTGAGCCTATAATTGGTTAACATTCTAATCAAAAGCCAGACTCAAATTGATTGCAAAATCCTCTTTGCTCTGAGTTATGGTGAGATTAAGGATTTTATTCCAAATCAACTAGACTTGGTTGTAGAATGCATTCCGGAAGGGTTAGGACAACAATGGAAAAATCGCTGTGAGGCCACAGTATTAATTTGTGACCACCCAAAGAAGAGGGGGAAAACCCTATATCATTTGTTTTTGGCTTTCTTCCCAAGGGCACTTTGGATGACGCGGACGACCCCAGCACCAGCGTGGGAGCCTATCACTACATGTTGGAGTCAAACATGGGGAAGACCATGCTGGAATTCCAGGTACCTGACTTCCTGCCACATGGATGTTTGGCTACACAATTCAGAAGTCTGGGAGAATGCCACTCTTATCACTAACATCTCCTGTTCCCAAAATCTACTTTTTTGTGTGCGTTGGTTATTTTAATTTAACCGTCTTAGAATCCAGTATGGTAGCTCTGTCTTAGCCACACCTCAGTAGGCTAAAATCAACAAGCCAACAAGAACAATCTTTGCTTTCTTACAGGGAAGTAAAAGACTTAAGTTTAAGATACAGGTAGGGAACACCATTGTCTTATGACTTTATAACATTTCACCAGCTTTTTGGTACAGAGTTCCCCCTTAAAACAAATCAAACAGTTTGAAGTGTTAATTGTGACCTTCTGATTCTTAATTTTCATAAGTTACAGATAAAGGTGCCTGTAATTATTAAACAACACCCCCTCGGTTCTGGTATTCCTTTTTTTTTAAAAGATTTTATTTGGGAATTGGGGGAGGAAACAGCATTGGGGAATGAGGGAAGGGGAACAGACAAGTTGCTGTCCTTTGGTTCTTCAGTCTAGTTGTGGAGGACGTCACTTCACTGGCCCATGTTGGTATTATCATTGCACTCTTCCCGGATGAGGCAGATCAGTCTCCAGCCTCTGGACGGCCGCTCACAGTGACTCTTGGCAGCTCACAATGGCTTCTGGCAGCTCACACTGGCTGCTGGCCACACACGGTAACTTATGGCAGCCCACTGCAGCAGGGGCTACAGGCTAAGCTATCGCCAGTGACTCATGGCAGCCCAGCTCCAGGCCGAGCTGTTGTTCACCATCTTAGCTGTGGAGGGCGCAGTTTCACTGACCCTCATGTGGGATCCGAGCCGGGGCCCTGTTGTTCAGAGCTGGCGTCCCAAACCAGCTCTTAACCAATGCGCCACTCAACCGGCCCTGCTATTCCTATTAAACAAAACCTGCCACCTCCTATCTAAGTGAACTAAGTAAAAAAATTTAGCAAGCTATAACACTTTTTTCATTCCCTGCAGACAAGCAATAATACAGCTGAGGAACTATATTATCTATTATTTCCAAATTAAATAATTATATCAAAAACAACAGCAATAAGAACAATCATAGCTGATGCCTCCTGGATGCTTACTTTGTCTAGCACTGTGCTAAGTATTTAACAAATATTATTATAATTTAACCCTCATAATAAACATATGAGTATTTATTATCCCCATGTCATCATTGAAGGGAGTGTGTTACATAGCTTAGCGAATGGCCGAGCCAGGGTTCAGATCCAGGCGGTCTGATTCCTGAGCTCACACTCTCGACTAGTATCCTACATTGGCCTGGGCAGATTCAGTAGCAATTGGGCATGAAATGTTTGCCCTCCAAAAAGCTAGACTTGAATGCATTGGACATCTATATACATGCAGTGCTAGTAGGAATCAATATGAAATGTTATAATGAAGAGTCTTTACCCCCAGTATTTCTATTTTTTTAGGTTAGAGTCCAAGAAGCAATCAGAGATATAAAGTTTTATGGACAAAAATATTCATCACACAATAATTTACAATGGTAGCACAGATGAACCCTGAAGTAACCACCTTTCAAAAACCTTCTTTGATCCCCTTCAAACTCTTTTCCTGACTACAATGGCATGGCCCTGCCCCTCCTTTAAAATCAGTATTTTTCCTCATCAGTCCCTTGTTTAAAGCAAATATAGTCTTTCTTCACCCTGTCCTGGAAAGACCTCAGCCATCCAGATTTCTTCTCTAGTGGACATGGTCTCACTGACTTTGATGT